TGCCATTTTTTGTTTGTTTTGTTCATGCATTTCGCCATTGTCTGTAAGTACAGTGATCGTTCATGGAGCCAGTACGCTTGAACTTTGATCACAGTGAATCTCTAAACTGGTACATTTGAATGAGGTCAGCTGTAACCCAGGGCAGGTGTGTCCCTTCTAGTCATACTTTACGGAGAGGGGCATGCAAATTCCAAATAAACAAGAGCTCGGACTGAAAAAATGATTGGGAAAATCTCTTGTACATCATGGCAAAAAAATAGCCTCTCCTCTTTTCAATCCATGTTTCTTCTGGTGTCAGGAATGACACTTTGTATTAAGAAATAAACATGTTTGGGTTTGCAAAAATGGGTTCCACTAGGGTTCTGCCACGTGGCAGGTCACATATTGAAATTTCTACCAGACACCTGATCAGTAGAAATCAACCAAACTGCAATTACAATTAGGCATATATCACCAACATATTCTGCAGCACTGTACAATAGGTAAACAAGACAAATGCTAAATTATAACAAACCATGATTGACATATTGGAATCATAGGTGAAGAGTGCTCAAATGAGCTTACAAGCTAAAAGCTATTTGGTACAAAACTAATCTCCAAATCTATTGTTTAATTAAGTTGTAGCATTTAAACAGTGCTTCAATGTGTTGTTTTTTTAGTTGGTAGTAAGTTGTCTAAAGTGTGGAAAGGAAATACCTCCCATGTCATTTTAACATCCCTTTAGCCTGTATTGTTGCTACAACGATGGAGAGACTCAAGGATGTATACATTTGATACCAAATTGTGACATTACCATGGTATATTCAAATTAGCTAAAGAGTATACTTGTTTATTCTAGTTTTTATTCTAGTTTTTGATCAAACAGCAACTAATCACTCCCCCCCACCCCCTTGTGTTATAATATAAGCTTAGTCTGGAAATACTGATGTATAATGACATTAGCAAATCCATTCCTAGTACATGGAGAGTAAAGCAGGCCGAAGCAAGAGTGACACTACAGTACAAGAAATCATGATCAAACAACAAAATCTTCGGAGCTAAACTTGTGCATGTCAAGATAATTCAGCTTTTTTCTCCCCTCTCTTGTTCACTTCTCACTTGATCTGTGAATAAAACCTATATTTAGTGACTTTCGCCATGATGTCAATCATCTTTTTTCCCCACTAATAATGTCTCTAGAAGTTATTACTGTTCTCCATATAGTTTGGCTCTGTACTCCCTTCACTTTCCTTAGTAGCATGTAGATCTATTTACTGTTGCCTGCAAGTCATGGTGCAGGTAATTTAACCCAGTGTGAAGGATGCTATCATGTACCTAGTACAAAATATTTACCCCCAATTCCAGCCCCCTGAACTTTTAGTCTGACAAAGATGCACTTTTTTGACACATGTAATGACAACCCAACCATTTCAAATATATCCCATGATGGATGACACATTTAATTGACATGTAATGCCCAATAATAAATTCTAAAACTTTCAGTATCTTCTCTGGACCCCCAAAATCATTGGGAAGTTGAAGAAAATGACTTATCCTACCACTAACAAAATGTTAACAGAGTCTGGCATTCGTTTTCAGACAAAAATGCTTTTGGCCAAATTTTTGGCAATTCATCCATTCGTCCAAATTGCGAATGGATGAATTAAAATTCCAACAAATGGCACGAAGAACGAATTTGGACAAAATTGTGTTCATTCAGTTCGTTCTTCCTTTGTTTGTTTTATTATTAGAAGGGGGAGATAACAACTTGCTACTACTTCCTTGTAATATTTAATAATAGAAGCATCAGGAAGCTGTATAAAAGATATTAAATCCTTCCTCCTGCCCCTACTTGCCGTGCCAATACTGTTAGTATTGAAGTAAACTTTTCAAATGATTTATCTACAAAAATTCCTATAGACTTTAATAGTGATTTCTGTAGATAAGTCATTTGGAATGTTTTTCTACCAGTATTGAATCACTTGGAATGCTTCTTGAATTGAGGCCCACATTCCATACTTGGCGGACATGTTCACATATACAACTTTATTGGAAAATAAATCCCTCATCTCATTCAACCTCTTCCTCATTCTATATTCTATGGTGAGTCCTTTAATACTAATAATGCCTTGATAACACATCTACTGCTTAGAGCACAAATGTGTAGCACACACATGTAAATCCCAGATTGTCCTTAATTTAATGGATGTCATTAATTTTGTATTGTATGACAAAATACATGGTGAGATAACATGGAGAGAAACTATGTACTCCGAAACTACTGAAATGTGGGAATGGTGGTATACCTATGTAAGCACCAAGCTTTCAAATTATACTTACACTATTTTAACCCCTTGGCTCCAATCCTTCCTTCATGCTTCACCTAGTTTGACTCCAGTGTTGGCCAGACAGCCACACAGCTGCTCCTTAACAAACACATTACTTACTGTTATGTTATTTATATAACATTTACCTGTCACACTTTAGTTACGGCACACTTTACCTGTGCATCCAAGTGTTGTACAAAGTCAATGTGTCTAGTTAAAGTTTTTCCTGTATATAAATTTTTATGTATATGATAAGCTTTTATTCCCTCCTCTACTTCTACATAGACATATTAAGAATTACACCGTCGAATTGTTACCACATTCTGTTGTTTCACGATAATGTGCCCTGTTGACTGTGTGTATTATGTGATTTATCTCAGTTTTTCCTTTTTCCCTTTCTCCATACTGTATCCCATTCACAGTTGTTAAAGCTGGCCAGTGGCCACCTTATATACACAGACCCCCAGCATAGGGTCTCCATCCACTTGTACAGTAAACTTGCCCAGGCGCTTCTGTGTCCAGAAGATAAGAGAGCTTGCTTTTGCTTACCCTATCTCTCAGGCACTAAAGGTACAAAATATTACACAAAAACCCTTAAATAATACATAACACACATATGAATCCCCACAAGCATTATATTGGATAGCCTAGATCTGAGCGCCCAACATATTCAAATACCACTCAGATCCCACAAACACAGCTGAATCGGCACTGGGGTAAAGTTTTGACCTACCGCACACATGGCGTCTGCCCAAATTAGTTCCAGAGAAAAAGTGGTAGTGGTCGGTCACTTTTGGGAGTTCAGCAATGAAGGAAATGTCGAACGTTTCCCTGGCTAATAGGTAGCGATTGTTCCCCTAGTTCGAGAGAAACAACCCTTCCAAACAGCGCTCTCCTGTCTTCTAGGGAAAAGAAGTAGGCGTTGACACAAGATCACAGAGGTTCACACGAGGATGTATCCAGCTTTGAGTTCCATACGCTTGATGACCAAGTGCCGCTGCCTGCATTTGTGCGATAAAATGGCCGCTGTTTTCTACAGCATATGTTGTTTGGTTACATGAACGGCAGCCACACAGAGAGAGCACTTAAGTTTATGGTTAGTTTGTAGTTAATGAGCCAGGGGGGTGGTCGGTGTTCAGTAGATTGGGGATGCAGGACTGGAGAAACGTATATGAACTCAGGAAAACTTATAACACGAACTAGGAGGGGAATGTCTTGAGAACAGGATAAATAGTGAGTTTGTCACAATGGGCTCTTTCCAGAATATCAACAGAGTAGGGTAAGGTAATGGCAGCCTTGGGTATTCTGTTAAGTGTTGACTTCCTGGGACAATAAAAATAAAAACAATTATTGTTCCATATCTTTTACACAATTGAACTAATCTAAAGTTTTCTGTTATGAAAACTGAAAAAATGGATTTCTGTTTCTTTAAATATCCTTGCTGCAACTTTGGCTTTGCAATCATTTTTTTACACCAATACCCAGCATTTTTCTGTAGCTTATTCAAATGTAAATTTCATATAATATGAAGTTAAATCAGATTTTTTATTTTTAGTGCCAAAATGTAAATTGTGAATTGGCAGAAAAATATGACTAAATATCACAAGATTAATTATTCTTATTCTTTCACATGTCTTTTATTACAATGTATTTTCTGCAACTGTTACGTTCAGGACCCCCCATGAAAAATAAAAAAGTGACAAAGTAATTACAGAGTAGTGGCAATGAGCCGCCACTCTTGAGAACATATTAAATTTGTTCCAAAGAAGTGCCGCATATAGTCAGAAATATTTGAATTGCTTCCTCCTGCTCCTACAATCTATATTTTACATGTGTTAGGGGATGAATGTGAGTACTCTATTTTAATATTTTTTTCAGGTAAAATGTGAAATATATATATAAAAGAATTACAAAGTTCGGACAAAGAGAAAGTATTATGAACACCATTAATAAACATTGAATGGATTAAATATTAAAGGACATTCCAGTTTCCAAGCCTAAAACCTGGTATAAAAACGTATTTTAGTGTCATCTTTTCTTTGATTCTACTTTACAATAAGTAATGATGAAATATAAATAGTATTACAAATGTATGCTTCTGAAAATATTAGAAATTATTCAATGAATGAATTAATTAATTAAATCATTCATTCATCAAGGAAGGGCATGCACAATAAATTTTGATTTATCTTCAAAAAGTGAGTGGGAAGTCACTCATAGTTGTATTGAACACCCACTCAACCGTCTTTCACCTACTTAAAGACCTACTGAAACTGCTGACATCAGGGCTCAAAACTGCAATTTTTTAATGCACAAGCAAGTTGGTCATCTGCTAGTGACATTTGCCAAATCCGTAATACAGAATGCAGTGTTATGATATACTGCACTCTGAGTTATACCACGCACATGTGGTATAGGAGCAAGGAGACAGGAGTGGGCAAAGCACACATAGCTTCTACTGTTGCTGGTAAAGTGCTGGATATTCAGTCTCCTCTTTCAGTGGACACATTTTGTAATCAAAGGAGTAA